ACTCTTCGGGCACTTCAGGTACGGGTCGATCGCGTGGTCGGGCCAGAGGTCGGGCACAGCCGGCGACCACTCCTCAGGAGGTGGCGGAGACCGAGCAGACAATGCAAGCCATGCGTATATCACCCACTCCTGGGGGCAATGGCAACGGATCCAACGGGTCCACCAGCAATGGCAACGGGAACGGTAATGGGAACGGTATGTATTTACGTGTATAAGCGGTGGTAAACCTATTGATAGTTGTGTGCATTCATTGATGTCTTCGTGTTGTAGGCAATGGTAACGGAGACTCGGCCGCTGTCAGAGGTATGGTATCATCAGTTGGCTGTCCCATAGGCTGTCCATTGATCTAACGGTATGTTATCTATCGGTGCGCTCGTATAGGAAGGGGTGGTTTCCGGGCCCGCAATGACGACTTGGACACCCGTCCCAAGGATATCGATCGCTTATACGGTAAGGCTATCGGCGGTGGTGACCACCAATAGGTCGGGTGTAGACACTAATGACACGCCATTCCCTCCCCAAACACCCACTCATCGCAGGAAACATTGGCGAAGAAGTGAGTCTTCTCTGCAATTACTTCCGGCTGAAGACGCCGACGGCTGTCTTGGTGAACAGCTTTCACGTGAAGTTCACGCCCGACATTGAGTCGGTGCAGTTGCGCCGGAAGATGATATTCGGCGTCACGAACCCCTTCGGCGACAGTCCCTTCGTCTTCGACGGCGTCTCCAATCTGAAGACATTGTGTCCCAATCGCGAGGAACGCAACTATACGGTGAATAACCCCGCAGTTCCGGATCAGATGATTAACATCAACATCCGATTCACGGAGGAGATCCCGTGGGGCGCGCCTGAGATGATGCGGATGTTCAACACGCAGATGAGGTCCTTCTTGCGGTACATCGACTACGTATTGATGGGTCGGAACTACTTCGACGTGAAGTCCGCGCAAACTCTCGACGAGTTTAAGATAAAGCTGTTGCCGGGAGTGGTGACCGCCATCGCCAATCACGACGGCGGCCTCCTGATGGTCGTGGACTCGTCGACGAAGTTCGTGAGGGCCGAGACCGTGATGGAGGTGATGATGGGGTGCCGGCGCGCGAACCCCAGCACATGGCTCGAGGACGCGAAGCGACAGATATGCGGATCCATTGTGTTGACCACATATAACAACAGGACCTACAAAGTTGACGACGTGGTCACTGGAGCCACGAATACCCCGCAGTCGCGCAGATTCCTCAAGAATGGCGTTGAGATGAATCTCGTGGACTACTATAAGCAACAGTACAACATCACCATAAGTCAGGCCAATGGGCCGCTTATCGAGTGTCTGCCGTCGCAGAGGGACCGAAGGGCCGGCAGGGATCAGAAGATTTTGTTGGTCCCGGAGTTGTGTCAGTTGACGGGTCTGACGGACTCCATGCGCCAGAACTTCGCGCTTATGCGCCGCATTGGGGACGTGTCGCGGCTGAAGCCGGCGGACAGGGCTCGCAATCTGAAGCAATTCATCCAAAAGGTGACGTCCAATGAGAAGGTGATTGAGGAGCAGCAGCGCTGGCAACTG